GGCAAATGGACCAATAAAATTCAAGGTTCAACTATGCAACCATTGAAAACTTTAAACTGTTTGAACTTACCTGACCTCTCAGGAAAGAGCACTCAAATTCATGAATGCTATTGGTCTATTTGCAAAAAACCTTAAGAATCTTTTGTTTTCAAAAAACGTTGTGATTGGATAATCTTATTCCAAGTGCCCTGTTTCGAGAAGTGGCACTGTAAAAGTAAATATATTATAACAAAAATAATAATCTGCCAGCGACCTTAATTTTGTTGTTGTTCTTGTTTATACTTTTCCTACCACAGGTGAAAGATGCATTGAGAGATAAGAAAGAAATAATGTGATGTATTGTTTTTCTGGAAATGACACAGCAGTACAGTGTAGCCATTTTTGTCAAAAAAGAGGCATAAACTATTCTAAATTATCTAAATGTTGTTTCAAAAATTGTGTTGAAACATAATGAATTTTATCTAAGTATATTGCACATACATTTTTAACATAATAATATTATATTTTTGTAAAGTCATTTGTATGTGATTAACCAGCCAAATTCAGTCTTGGATGTAAATTAATCACAGTGAAGTGGCTTTAATAAATTATTTTGTCATTTTTCAAGCAGCTGGGTTATTTTTGTTAGTGCCCTTCTTCTTCAATACAAGTAGTTCTCCATTTGTAGGAAAATTTCGCAGGTGGTAAATTTTGTAATTTTTCAGTTTTATTTATGATCTGAAAAATAATACAGTGAAACCTGTATTAAGCGGACACCCTCAGGGAAAGCTGTGGTGTCCGCTTAATACAGGGTGTCTGCCTAATACAGGTTTCAATAGATAACGACATATGAATGTCAAATGCCATTCAAATGAACAGTGGAAAGAGACTATGACGATATACGTTTGAATGAATTTCTTTATCAAAGTGGACCAATTAATCATGGTACCTTAAACATAGATTGCAACTCAAATGTGACGAAATCAGATGAGTGAAAAAAGCTCTATGCAAACAAAACGAAATAGAAAACAATACTGCACTGGGAAACTAATCAAATAAGTTCGTCAAGTCACGTTTTTTAATGTAAAAATTGAAAAATTTGTGGGTGACAATTCGAGGCAATCTTTAGCATTTCTGGTGTCTGGCATGTTGTGTGGTGGAATTTAATTACGAGTGTCCGTTTAATACAGGTTGGCAACAATAGAAATAACCATTTCAGGTACTTTTTAGGTGTCCGCATCCGCTTAACTCACTGTATTGAGCATAACTTCCTGCAAAGACATTTATTCGGAGGTCGCAATTCCTTTTACGTATATTATAGAATAGAGAAAGTGACTCTGAGGTTTAAGTGAAACACTGTCATAGTTTGTGCCTTTTAACCATACAAGTGTGAGTAAAATGTTTGGTGTTTGTGTAATGCAATGTCAGAAAAACATTGCTGTATAATTTCAAAGATGTGAGGAAATAAGATTGATAATTGATTGATTGGTGAAATAAATGATAACTTTATGCATTCCTGTCCTCTGGTTTTCTGTATTCAAGTTTCAGCGTGGCAAATATCTCTTCTTCTGAGTTCGCTTCAAGGAGACATGGAGGCTGAAAAGAAGAGAAGCCATATTATATGTAAGGGGGGTTTGCTTCTAATGAAACTGTAGGGCTACCTTGGTGGGTTAGCCTACAGAACAAGCGTTACGATTTTTCACGTTTTTTCGCATAAACATAGTTGCCAGAATTTTCAGAGCAAAGGGAGAAATTTTGAGGATGCTAGCATACAACAAACCGTAAAACTAACTGGCGCCTGCCATGCAGGGGCAAATGATCAAGGCCAACATAAAGCAGGGGGTGAAGCACAAGACCTGAAATGGGGGAAGGTTATTGTTTCATGCTCCACACCTGCTTCGCACTTACATTTGCTCACCAGAAAAACGCCTCCCAAAAACACCTGTTCTACATGCTATTGTGGGAAAGTAAAAAACAAGTTTGGTTGATAAAATACATTGGCCACTGTGAGAAAATTCAGAGGCTGAAATTTACAGCACTAGCCCTTTGTCAGAGTGAGTCAGTTAAATTATTCACGTAATTAAAACAACTAAATAAAATTTATTAGGGAGTAAGATCTGCTTCAGTTGTTTTCATCCTATATTTTCCCCACTTGTTGGCAGGAATTGTTCAAAGTACTTTAAAGCCTAAAAAAGGAAGCATCTGACTCTTCTCTATGGACTTGTACATGTATAGTCAAAAGAATATGATTATTGGTAGTGCAGCATAGTGACATCTATGATCCCCTGTTCTTAAGAATACAAGAACTTACCACTTGGTTATGATCCCACATTCCATGGTTCGATAACTTGATTTTCAATATTTTCCAGGCATAGTCCCTTATTGAGCGGTTAAATTGCTAGACAAGAAAAA